CGTTTTTGTCGGCCTGGCGATTTTCGAAATTTAACACTAGTTTCCGAGACCTAGAAAATTGGGACGCGGCTCGTGCGACTAATTCGCCGAGAATCGGCGAGTAATTTCGGATGCTACCGGACTTGGCCGATTATCGCCGGACAAGAATTCGACAATCCGTAACTTCGAGGGCGCTCTGGATTCTAACGTTTTACGTAGTTCCTGCTCCTGTAAATATCACAGCTTTAATAGCGCATTCGATATATTCGAGTCCGCATGCGGGAAATCCCGTTGAAGACGCCAACATTTTCTTACGCGCCGTTCCTTGGGTATAACACGTTTAATTCCATTAGGACCGTCTCTTTGCGGAAATACCAATCCGCTCGGCCGTGTTTCTCGTTACAAAGGGCCCCCTCACTCGTGACACCCGGACGGCCTCGCGTGTGACTTAACGACGCTTGGCTAATTAACGTAAAATTCAATCGGTCATGGAAGGCGGTCGTTCTTTCTCCGTTTGTCCGACTCTTAGCGGCAGTGATTGCGCACTCTGTGACAACCTGTTACTCCCAACCCGTCACACCGTTGTCCGCTGAAGACGGCAAAGGTCGAGCAATCTTTAACTTATGTAAATGCTTGTGAACAATCGATTAGTGATGAGTATTTTAGAATTTACGTAGATTAAAGGACCATCTACATTGGAAGTAAGAAGTAAGAAAACCATTTACTTATCAGCTAAAGTACAGGCATAATTTTTTAAAATATTTATAGCACTGGTCAAACTCTAATTCGCCGAGACTAAGCGTCAGAGCTGAAGTAGGAGTAAGAAATGGAAACGCCAGGCTTACTTCATCTATTGTAGACGATCCTTTAGACGGACGAAACATGCCTTTTGTGTATATTGGGGTAGTAACATGCATATCGATACTTGTGCAGAATTGAACAAATGACTGGACGTCGATTTTTGTTAATTACTCGGTACCTCTCGAAAGGAACGTTAGATAGTTTCTCTTCGTATAATGTACGTTAATGCGAGTCTCAGCCGCGCATACGCCTCGCCCAGGCCTCAGCAGGCACGTCGAGTGCGCCGTTAAAATAAAAAGCCTCCACGCACGTCCCGCGATATACCGAGCATACAAATATCTCTGCCGTCAACGAGAGCCAACGAGATATTCGTTTCGAACAAAGCCGAGATGGGCCGGGGGAGAATCGGCAGAACGCTCCAATCGCTTATATTTCACGATCGCCGGTCGAAAAAGGAGAAGCGCGATCCTCCGCGCGCGCACCTGCCGTGTTGCGGCACCGTAAGAAGGCCCCCTTTGCCGGAGAAAATACAGCGGGAACACACGGATACGGCCGAAACTTCTTATTCGCTCGAGAGTCTCCCGTGTGCCGTGCCGTGCCGTGCCGTGCGCATGTAAATGCGCGAGACGCGACTCGGAGAGGTGATATTTCGAGGCCCGTTCGACGTCGGGGCCCCTCGGCCCCGGGGACCGACGGCCATTGTATCCGCGTCCGCTCGCTCGCGCTCGCGCGCTCGCGCGCGCGCGCTTCTGCTCATTAAATATTAACGAGAGTCTCAATTTCTTCATTTCGTTGATGAGTCGCCGCGCGCCATCCGAGAGAACCCGCATATAGATTGAAAATTAACTTATATGAGCGCCGACAAAATATATACGGCATGCGGTGCACTTATACGACTCAAGAGGTCTACAATTTACACGAGGGCTCGCTATGTTGGTATAACCCCTAAGTAGAACCCTCGTCCCCCCGCCGGCGCCTCTCTTCCTCCTCCTCTTCTTCTTTCTCTTCTGCTTCTTCTCCTTTGTCGTAATCTTCTTCTTCTTCTGCTTCCTTGTCGTCGTCGTCGTACCTTCCTTTTGGCTTATTCGCTTCTGACCCGAACGTGAAATCCTTAAATACCTAATTTGATGCTAATTACAACTTGCACTTGCGCCTCGCGAGAGATCGGCAAACGTGTGCTCGCGTGTGGCGAGAAGGTTTAATGGTGTGCCCGGGATGGCGGTGTATGATGGATGGTGAGACACGTCGTCGGCGAGGCATCAGGTTGCATCTTCTCGACTTCCAACTTGGAAGTGTCTGTATCTTCGATTTTCAGAGCGAAGCTCCTTGACATCTCGCAGATATTCGACACTTGTACGATTAACGCGGCTGGAAGCTCAAGCTGATTCGCAGTTACTGAGTTTACTGCGACTTTCAGAACCTTACATCTTGGAACGTTTATGAAAAATTGTAACATTCAAAGTGCGAACGTACGATACACAATTTTAATCTTCGCGAAAGATAGTTTTCGATACCTTGAGGTATTTACATATTTATGACATTCGTCCAATACAACTTCGATGTTTCTTTCTTCTTCCAGGCAATTTTTAGAAAAGCTTTAACTATCGATATGCAATTTGAAATCGTTCTTTCGTTGTTTGGGTTTTCTGCAAAATTCATAGGAAAGTCCAAGGAATAAACTTCTAATCTGACGTCTACAAATTTTTTCTCAATTGGAATATAAATGCAAATTATAAAATTTGAAAATTCTCGAATTGCTTCACATGGTATTTGAGCATGGAGTTGAAGCTTTGAGCACAACAACTTAAAATAATTATTGAAGTTCATTGCAGAGGCGTGCATGTCTCGTGTTTACGTGTCGTACAAATTAGGACACGAACTTACCTTTCTTACCGTGCAGTCTATACACTTCGGACGGAGAAGGTGCAGCAAATTAGAGAAGAAAGTGAGTTACGTTTGAGTCGAGACGTACGTAACTATTTATTATGCGATAATAGTTGCACTCGAATGTAGCACATTAATTTGTCTATATAGACTTGGAAATAATTGCTGCGCTCTTTAACATGTACGCTTAATGATCGCTATGTTACACATACCTAACGTGCGACCTATCGATTTTCCCTGCCGAGCATTACGTGACAAGATACGTCGTAAAGGATGCCCGTAAAGTATTTGGACTCACTTTATTGTGAAACGAAGGAAATAAATATAGCAAACACATGGAAACGGTGTAATGCGTTTTCTCGGAATGTCATTAACTTGTGTAAAAGTATGTGGACGCTTTTGAATCTTATTACATTAATGCTTAGATATTGGCCATACAATTAAATTGCCACGCCGACGCTCTCAATTTAACGCACCACAAGTTTTCGCAAAACTTTCTTGTTACCTAGTCCCTCAAGTATAGCTTCGAATGAAATATTAAAAATATAGGGCGAATATAAAGGCATCGTTGACGATCGAAAGAAGGAGCGGAAGGAACAAACGATTAATCATTGCCAACTCGTATAAATTCCAGAAGCGGAGATCACGGATGCGTAATTTGAATAATTTTCCAATATTTCAAATGTCACGTACTTGAGTGTCGGAAAAAGTGTTAAGTTAAAAAACGTATTAATCAATAGTTTCCTACGATGTGCTATATTTGCTCGAAAAGTTTAACTTAAAGTTTCGCCAACTTGCGACAACCTCCATTACGTAATCAAATTTGCGTGAAAACGCGTGTGTATGTGTGCGCCCTCGTACTGCTCGAATTCAAAGTAGACGATTCCGGGGCGGGTAAGGGGGGGGGGGGGCGTGAATGCAAGAACGCATAATGTGAAAGGCTTGATCAAGGCGAAATCTCTCGTCCTCCGAATGGCACGCGTTAATTCGGACCGCGATTTGCAAAAATATATTATGCCCTTTGAATTCCAGCAGCTCGTTAAAAAATTTTTCTTCCTTAGCTAAGTCTTTTGGCACGAGCAGAGGAACGCCGTTTTTCCTTCTTCTTCTTTTTTTTTTAAGAAAAACCTTCGTACAATTTACGTCGCTAATATAAAATTCATAGACACTCGCCTAAATTTTTATCGAGCTTCGCATAATTTTGTTTATCAGATACAATTCTCTCTTGCGATGTGTGCTTGTAGCAACGATCGACTTTGCAATTGGGGTTCTATCTTCTTTATTATTTGGCATTTATAAAAATTATGTTTAACACATTGCCAATCTCCGTAAATTGTCGCCGTCTGATTACAAGTTCAACTAACGAATACTAGACTGTTCCATTTTAACCGATTAATTGTAGCGCGAAGTCGATAAAAGTTAGTCGCGCGCGAAGTCTCGTATAAAATCAATGAGAATAAATTAAATAATTTCCCTACGTGATTGCACAAGTAATGTACGTGTCCGGTCGTATGGGTTTTCGTTTAATTTAACGGCCCTTGCGACACATCGTACAGGGTGTTCTAAACAGTTGCATACATCGTTAGATGAGGAAGCGTTGATGTGCTTTGTAAAAAAATTCGACTTGAACGGCGCTCAAAATCTTCATCGCGCGAATTTCCCGAAATTTACGGAAATTTTCAGATCTCATTGAAAACACTGACAAATCGCAAAATCATCATTAAAATGTTACCCCGCAATTACGTGAAGATGTCTGAAAGATTCTTTTTAGATTTTTTGAGATCTTTTCACCGTTCGCCTAAATTTTCAAATTCTTAAGAATGCTAGCTACATGTCACATCAAAGATGCAAAAAGACTTTTGGAAATGCTTAAATTTTCAATTACTTCATGTTTCAAATCGTACGCGTAATATTTCACTTATAAGTGGAACATCCAAATTAAATATTTCTACATTAAATGTTTGCTAGGAAGAAATTCTTTCAAATTTCATTAAACACGTGTCTGCCATATAGTTAGTATACATCTCTCTGGAACACCCTATGTGTCGAACAGTGCCCGAAATTTCGTCGTTAATCGTCGATACAATCGCTAACCCCAGTGAGAACACTAATGTCGAATCAACGTCGATGGGGTTGAAACCGCGTTCCAACCGTCAGTTTTCCAAGATAATTAAGTGTAAAGCTTGATTTTTTACTAACAAGAGCATTCTTCGTGTCGCCAGCAGTAATTAACAACTTCAGTGTTTTTATCTGGCATTTTTAATAATGCAGAAATTTTTTTTGCGAAAAATATCCTAGCTGAGGTAATATTTTTCGCAAAAAAAATTTCTGTATTATTAACAATGCCAGATATGGTTAATACAAACACTAAAGTTCTTAATTTTTTTTATTGGATTACTACGTCCAACGTTCTGAATACTTTTAACATCTTATTGGAGAGAACTGCCGAGTAAACTTATTTATTACAAAATTTAATGCAAATTAATTTTAATACAAAATTTCATAGAAAAATTAAGTTCCAAAGCTTTGAATTATTTTCGAAAACTGACGGTTGGGACGCGGTTTCAACCCCATTGACGCCGACTCGACGTTAGTGTTCTCACTCGGAATAAAACGTCCTCTTTGCATACGTACCTAGATTACATTATTACTATTCTCGTCTAGTAATCTTTGGTAATTCGGATGTGCATGGAACTATGATTATTATCACTGATTATTTAATCATAATCGTCCTTGAAGTTACCCGCTAGATTCTACCTGACTAGGCTGCCTTCGGGAAAGTCCTTCGACGAGTCACTTTCTTCGTTAAATCAGACAATGCGTTGTCATCCAAATCTTGGCGGAAGGCCAGGCATTTAATCTTGACCGATCTCGCGCCACACATTTGTTTCCCGCACGAGATTAAACTGCATCGAGTCCCACGCGAAGTTTAAGTAATTGTTCTCAAGACTAGCGAGGATCACACTCTAGGCTTCTGAAAGTAAGACCAGGCTTAAACAGCTGCTGCCACGATACGTGCCAGCGACGTCAATGTTCATCAGAAAGAACTTGCTAAGACGATGGACGCGTGTCATCGACTTGCTCCTCGATTCGCGAGGAAGAGCGATAATCCCTCATCCAAGATGGCTGGAGAGGCTACTGTAAGCGTCCTCTTCCATTTCAAGCCGCCGTCAGTAGAGGTCGGAAAAGGAGACCTGAGAGGAGACGCCCGAGTGCAGATGATGAAGGGCGTGTAACTCCTCCATCGAGGTCGAGGGCATGCTGTTGCTGTCGCCGAGTATGCTGGCGGACGGACCGATGTTTGGAGAATTGCCTGTGCTGGAGGACACCGCCGTGCCGGAACAGCCGACGTTGCTGCCGGCGCTGCTACCGTCCTGCCGCATCAGGTTCCGTCGCCATTTCGCGCGCGCGTTTTGGAACCACACCTGAACAGACGCGAGACCGCGCGATTTCAATTATTCACGCAATCGATTCTTCGACATCGATCGCAATTAAAGTGACTGCTCGCTCTATTCCAGAATTAGAAGCAGAAAAAAAATGAATAAACGTGCCTGAAGAAATTGCAATTGACCTTAGCTTCGCGCACGTACGATCTCGTGATGAAAGGAAAATTGTCAGAAAAGAAGCAATCGTTAGCGTCGATTAGTTAACTCGATGCGAACTCTCTAAAACTCAATCGGTGACCACTGCGATTTTCAGTGGTGTACTTATAACAGCAAATCAGTGACCGTTCACTGTTTTCACTGATAATCCACTGATTGGCTTTTAGAGAGAACGGAGGTCTCCGTACCTGCAGCACCCTTTTCGACAGGCCGGTCTTCTGCGCGAGTTGCTTGAGATCCTTGGCGTCCGGATTCTGATTTACCCCGAAGTAATTCTTCATGGTTCGCAATTGGTGGTGCTTGAAACTGGTGCGCATACGCTTCGTCCGCTGGTTCTGATGCACCGGTCCCGGCGAGCCCACGGACGCGTCGTAAGCGGCCAGCGACTCCATCGACGAGGACAGCTCCGCGGGGTGCAGCAGTTCTGCAACGTCGACGTCCGCTAGAAAGTCTCTCTTTTCTTTCCCATTTTTCGGTTTCGCGTCCAACCGTCGACGTCGCGCGCGAGCGACGTGCGAGGAGGGAAACGGCGCGACGCTGGATAACACGTCGCCCTTTAAGTCTACCGAGTCCCTTTTCGGTCGTGCGTTTGCAGGGGTCGCAAGTCTCAGAATCGGAAAAAGAAGAATCAAAAATGTGAAATTTCTAAAAGCCGAAAGAAATCGGAAGAACCTCGAGACTTTAAGCTTATCAACGTTAATACGATCGATATTAAAGTCATCATACGTTGGATACGTTTGAGCTCAAGAGATATCCTCTTCTCGGAGAATTATATAAGAACTTCCACGACGATCTAACATCTCCCCGCCAGTACTTCCCTACCAGTACTTCATTCCGCGGTCTTCTTTAATTCTCGCGCCAATCCGCGTGCCGGCCGAGCGGCGTGACTCTTATTGTTCCAAGGATTTTAGCCCGAGAGAAATCGACCCTTACCGTCCTCTCCGATCTTGGGAACGTAACTGTGCTTTCTGAATTGTCTTCGAGAAAAAGAACAAAACCGACGAAATCCGTGCCGTTCACCTCGACGAAGAAAACGAATTCCGAACCGGCGCCGTGGAACCATTCGCGAAAACGGTTTTTCTCCCGTTTCCTCTCTCCACGTATTTCTCTCTCTCTCTCTCTCTCTCTCTCTCTCTCTCTCTCTCTCTCTCTCTCTCTCTCTCTCTCTCTCTCTCTCTCTCTTCCTTTCGTTCTTTCGCGTCCTCTCGTTGGCGAACCAGCCGATCGCCGTCCGTTGGGAATGGAAGTTCGGAACAATAAACAGTAATGGCGCATACGTGCTCCGGGGATTTTACTTCTGGGATCCCCCTCGCCCCCTCGCCCCGCCCGCGTGCCCGCTTCGACGACTGGAACCCGTTCTTCTCCCGATTGAATTCAATGGTTACCCTCGTCGTCTTATTTATTGGATGCGTTCCTTCGCTCCGCCGGCGCGCAACAACTGCAACTGCGCACACAATCTCAGCACGCCCCGGCCTCTTTCCGGCCGACTCTCTTTCCCCCTTTCCGCGCTTCTTTATTTTCGTCCATCATAATTCAGTTAAATTCGTGCCGAGTGGCTTGACAGCTAATTGATCAATTAAGACTCCTCCTCCGCGCAGGTTAAAGATCTCGCCCGAGAAACGTCGCGAGCATCTTCCGTGTTCCCGGCGAGTCCTCGCTTCGATTCGATTCTCGTTTCTCGCGAGTCTACCCACCGAGAAAAATAATATCGCGAAAAGCCCCGACGTCCTACCGAAGATCTAAGCATATTTCGTTTTGCATATGAAAATAGAAGTAGTCGAACCAGAAGGAAAAGGTATACGCGAAACGGACTTTTGAGTTCCGGCGTGATTTGATACGCGAGTCGAATCGAAATTAGGACTTTTCCAGCGCGCCTCTCGGCTCCGGCGGGGCCTTTCTGTCTCCGCAGAAAGAGGAACGGCCGCGGGGCACCGGCGGACAGTGACAGATAGGTATCGGCACCGGGAGATGCATCGATTGGCCGATCTGCCCGGAAAAGAATGCTGCCGCGGCCAATGCGTGGCCGCTGCCAGCAAAATGGCCGGCCGGAGCGCTATAATGCCGCCTGCGCGAGTTTCTTGCCGCGCCGCGCCGCCGGCATCGGAATCCCTCTCTCGTTCCGTCGTCGATCCTCTCGGCCCTCGGCGATTTTGGCTTCTAACTCGCCCTGACAAATTGTAATCTCATTCTTAAACCGCCAAATCTGCCCCTCCCGCCCTCCCGCCGCCGAGCCGCTCGGGAGAAACTTCCCAGGGCTCGGGACTCCTCCCTCGCAAGAAAGGACAATATCTTCTTAATTCCAAGATGGACCGGCGCATGCTCTCGCTGCAAACCGTATAGAAATTAATAGCGCGGTATCGGCCGTGCAACATATTTCATATATAATTTCTCCATTTTCATGTCGCACGTAAGTCAGGCCAAACGTTAGACTATCATATTCGACAAAGAGTGCGTTACCTCACGCAGTGCCGGTTTTAGCAACATTGGCGCCCTGTGCAAGATTATCGTGGCGCCCATTCAAATTCAAGGGCTCGAAATTCTTGCGAGAGAAAAGACAGGGTAATAATATCGAACGACGAGCCCCATTTTGTTTTTACATTTTAGGGAATCTCTCTCACTCTCAAACTAGGTGAAACCAGGCAGCGGTGCTCCTATAGATTTGGCGTCCTGGGCGACCGCCCAACCGCGCCCCGCCCTAACGCCGGTACTGACCTCGCGACTCCTCGGAAATAGAATAGGAGAGTTTGAGGAAACGGGGAGGCTGTAAATTTTCTGAATCTTTGGAACGACGACTTAAATTATCCCTTCATCGTAATCTAATACATCAATTGCTCAGGCATTAGATGTGGCACGACGTCTCGCAGCTTCGGAATAGTCGGATTATCGTTTTCTTGCCTCGGGCAGTATCGCCGCGAGAGTGGCCTCTGTGATTCGCCGTCGCGAGCTCCGAGCGTCTCGCCGTGGAATCGCTCCCGTCGTCGGCGTGTCCCTTTCGCAAAAACTGTCCCAATTATATATAAAGACAATAAAACACCGCGAGAGGGTCTCTCTCTCCCAGGCCGGCTGTTCCCACCCGTGGCCGCGCACGCAGGACTTCATGGACGATTTTATGGCTGTTGGTCGTAAATTCCGGTCGGTAGTCCGGGGAGAGTGATCCTCGCTCTCGTCGATTATAAAATAACTGGGAATCACGCGCGGCACCGGTCGGCTCGCCATCTTGGCTTGCGCCCGAAGCCGAAACGATCGTAAAGTCCAGCGGAAATCGTATCGAAACGCGACACGAGTGCGAGTCGGCCGGCAAAGGACGCAAGTCGAGCGGGGAATCAATTTTTTTTTTTCAATTTCTCCCGTCCGCGTTTCGCCGTGGTCGTAATGGCGACAGCGCGACGATTAACTTCGCGATTTACGCGTGTCTAAGCTTGTGGCATTACCGCTAGGAACCCTGTCCGCTATAATTCTCGCACGATTTTCGTCGCCCCGGAGTTTTACATTACCGTTTGTGATATCGGAGAAGCGAAGTTATTAAGAATGACGACTACAACCGGACGAACGCCGCTCGAGATCGCGATAAGCTTTTGTTATCGGGGATTCGCGCGTTGAATCATCGAGCAATTAGACATCTGCGTAGCGCGCGAGATCTCGTCAAAGAATCCCGCTCGCCGATGTCGAACGCTCCAGTTAACGAGCCGAATAATCGCGCGGGCGAAATGAAATAACATCTGCGATTCTTGCGGGCCCGAGCAAATGTTTGCACGAAGGAACGCCCCATTATACCCGTTGCTCGGTAAATAATGCAACTCCGCCGATTAACCCGTTTGCTATAGCGTGGAATAAAGAGAAAGCGTAAGAATAGACAGAGAGAGAGAGAGAGAAGCGTAGAGGGTGGGAGACAAATTAAAAATCAAATGCCAAATTGAAGAGACTAGGACCGGTATTCATAGTCAGATCTTATACTCAAGACTGTTTTGAATTTATTATATATGAAGATGCTATATGGAACATTTCACTGGCTATCAAGTATCTGAAGGTGACCTTAAGGCCTGTGTCCTCGATGCTAGAACTCGCTCCACGTTCTAGCCTTAAGATCGTCTTGGACCGAGTTCTAACATCGTGGACACGGGCCTTTAAGATGATCTTATGAAGTGTCTACAGGAGTCTCTTAAGACGGTCTCGAATAAAAAATCTGACTATGTCCCAATCCCGACCTAAGGGTAACTCTAGAGCGGAGGAGGAACGAGGGACGAAATCGAGAGGATCGTTTGACGATCGATACAAGATTGCGGAACATACATTGGCTTGACTCACCGAGCGCTCCAGCGGCCAGTCTCATCGTGACGGGAAGCTCGGAGCCGGTGACTTCCGACAGCTTCCGCTTCCGCGGCCGGCCCTTCTGCACCGCGCCGGAAGTGGCGATCGGGCTCTGCTCGTAGTAAGCCGGGAGCGGCGACACCCCCGGCGAGCCGAGGTCTTCGATGCTGCCGGCGGCACCCCCGTAATCGCCGGCGCAGCACAGCAACTCGTAGTGTGGTCTTGGGAGCGACGTGCTCGTCAGTCGTCAACCTCTCTGTCAAGTAGTCGATAGACGACCTGACCTCCGCGTTATGCGTCCTCCGAGTTCGATGAACGAGTTCGACTTGGCGATACCGCGCGCCGGCGATGCCACGCGGGGCGAGATGTAGCGCGAGGGATTGTCGTTAGTCGAGGGACAAGACGGTTACCGGCCCTCGGCGAGTTGGACGTTCGAATTCGAGACGGGGTCTGAGCTTTCCTCGTTCTGTCGCGGTAAAGTCTCCCGAGCCTTCGAAGCTGCGGGGGATCTTTCGATCGTCGTAAAATTCTACGGTGCGCACATTCTCGAGATACTTGATTTCGTGAGCGTTTGAGGAAATCGCAAGAGCCTCCTTAAAGCTCGACATTCGTAAATTCTCGTTCTCACGTCCCCGCGTTATCTGTCGTCGCGATCGTCTTCCCGGAACCCGAGACCGAATCCGTCCGTTCCAATGACCGTCATTAGCACTCAACAACCGTCATTAGCGCGGAGGTAAGGGGGGGCAGAGGAGAAAATGATTCGGTGCGACAAAGCGCCTCGTGCTGCTGTCAACCTCGTCATCGAACTCGTTGATAACAAGGAGAGACGGCCTTTGAAGGATAGTAATGATCAGACACTCCTGTTTCTCACCTACAATACACCAGTCCGTCCCGCTGGCCGAAATGATCGCCTTTGTTCAGCGGGGTGCCACACGAGGCGCAAGTGAAGCACGCCACATGATACACCAAATCGCGCGCTCGCATCACCAGTTCTGAGGCGGAAATGCCGGCGCGGCATCGGGAGCACCGGGACACTGCGAATAATCTGTCATCGAAACAGTTAAAGTGTTATTCACGGATCTTCGAATCCCACGTTCGGGGAGCGTCGCTGAATTTCTTTAATCGATCTCTTTTTAACTCTACAATTTATCTCTGGTCGTTGAAAGACTAGACTAGAGAAACGTATGAAACGTATAAAAGAAATACACGTCTCTTAGAGTTTTGTATATTTGACGGAAAATCAAATTAATTTGTTATTATTTAATAATTCCTTAAATAATTATATCCGTAGAAGTTATTAATATTTCAGAATCCTCACAATTTGACGGAGTTTCGTGTTTCGGAACTTTCAAACGTATATGAACTTTTGATTTCTAATTTCGTTAATTTAGAGAAGTTAGGAAAAACTGTGCACTTGGGAATCTAACGGTACGCTCTATGTTCTGCGAATTCCGACTGCGTTCCCGAATGTTAGCGGATACATTGCGAATTCTCGCTTCAGGAGAATTTCGCAAGGGATCGAAGCAGACCGTTCGCGGAGACGGAAACAAAGGGCTCGGCGTTGTTGCATATTGCATGGAGGACGGCTGTTGAATTCCTCCCCTGCTCGCTATAACGAACTCGCCTCTCGGCCTTTCATTCCACCCTCGTCCTGAAATGTCGGACGTCATCGCGTAAGCGCGATGATAAACAACATTTATTTCTTTGCTTACGCTCGGCTCGCGTTCCAACTTTCGGCTTCCCTGGGATCGCGATTTCCTTCGAAGCTACGAATGATGAAGCTTTTCAAATCTTCGAAACTTGGATCTACTTAATCTTCCGAATGTAATAATAACCTGATAAACAGTAGTCTTTAGGATCTCTTTAAAATTGGCCCTCTTCTCCGTTCTCTTTTTTTTATGACTACCTGCATTCTTTATCGGAGAGTATATCGCCGCGCCGAGTGTGGAATTCAAGGTCCAATTCCTGAATAAGACTAGAACTGTGTATTTAGAAACGGCTATTAGTGGACATTTTGTGTGGTCTAGGGAAGAAGGCGTTTTGGTAAAAGAGAGCACGGGAGAATCCGCTTCTCGTATGCAAATTCAGCGCCGTCCCAATAAATATCGAGAATAGAGTGCGCACATTAATGGATCTTGTGCCAGTTCCGCCCGCGTCGTTCAAGCGATTCGTCGCAGATTAAACTTCGAACTCGCGACTGCTTTTCCGAGTTTCCTCTTTCAAAAATGGCCAGCGATTTGTTTTATTTTTTTCTTTGTACACGTCGCTCGCGCTTCAACTAACCTGTAGTAATCCTCTTTGCAGTAAATGTTACCGTCTCTGGCGAAGCAGGTGAGCTCGGCGGCCAGGGGGACCCGGCAGTGACAGCAGCGCAGGCAGCCGCAGTGCCATGCGCGATCGGCCGCCCTTAGGTACCAACGCTCGGCGATCTCCCTTCCGCAGCCACCGCAGCCGAGGACACCCTCGGTGATGCCGCCACCGCCGCCGCCACCCCCGCCGCCGCCTCCGCCGCCGCCGCCCTCGCTCGCGCCGATCTGCCGACCGTTCGCCCCGCAGCCGCCTCCGTCCCCCGACGGGGGTGTGGTGCCGCCGCAGCCGACTTCCTTCAGCATCTCGCTCCACGCGCCCCGCTACGACGCATGACGTTGCATTCTGCAAGTGGTTACCGCAAGTCTCCGTGATGCATGACGTATTGCGCACGTTGCCTGGACGAAGCGCGATCCCAGGGAGTACCGGGAAAATTACGATCGGCCATTGTTTAGTAAATTTTCCGGAAGTGACGATCTCGAGTGACTCTCGCACGACGCTCGCGTGGAAATACGACGGAAGCTATGCGCGTTTGTATTGTACATTGTAAGCAATTTCATGGATGATGAAACCGCAGTCGTTGACCTTCACGCAGGATTGAGTGGTATATAATGCTTACAGTCCTTTGCATGTCGACTCTCCAATTGTCATATCTACTTCGAGATACTGGAAATAAAGTTCACGTGCAGCTTTGAACAACTGTCACTTCCGCTCTATAAATGGCGAAATTAACTTGTGAAAAATGTCAGAATTGCTATTTGACAAATAGAGTTTTACGTGCATTGATTCCTTTCGGGAACTGTTCCCGTAATTGCAATGTGTTCTCATAGAAAGAAACCTGATGAACTCAAGTCTGATAAACGTGGCTGGTGGTCAAGCGATTGGACCATTTCTTCCACCTCTTAGAAAAACCTTCGCGTAAAGATCGCTCTTAATACATATTTCATTTTATCTGTCAACTTGCAATTTTAATGTTTCTCAACAGATTAATTTCCTTGTATGTAAAAGCAGATTTATGCAAGCACTTTATAATCATCTCTGCATAATAACTCCATTGTACAATTTTATTTGTCAACTTGCAATTTTCATGTTTCTTGACAGATTAATTTCCTTTGCATACAAAAGAAGATTTATGCAAGCACTTTATATTCACCCCTGTATAGTGACTCCATCGTACAATCGCGAGTGGAAGAAATCTCAAGCCCTTTCTGTTATCGCAGGGTTTAAAAATCAATCAATGAATTATCACCAAGAACAATGAATAGTCACTGATTTACAGTTATAAGTATAGCACTGCAAATCAGTGGCTATTCGCTGTTTTCAGTGATATACAATACCACTGCGATTTTCGGTGCTACACTTATAACTGCAAATCAATTACTATTCACTGTTTTTCAGTGATACTCCACTGATTGACTTTTAGAGGGTAAAGACTTGAAAATTTAGGATAAGAATCCTTAAGAGTCACCTCGTGCACGTTTGTTCGGAGCTTGCTGCCCAGGCGACAAAATCAGAAACCGATGAACATATGAGAGCAATTCGTGGCCGGCGGTAATGAATTCTTTAACGAACGACTCTCGCCTTCGAATCACGATTAACGCAAAGGCGATGCCTTTCGCTTACAAAAGCGTTGTCACGAGAGTCGTTAGATCTCTGCGCAAATAGATTTTCCATTTACACGTGACTGTTGCAAGAATCGAGCTTTAGGGCCGGTCACTCGGAGAGAGATCGTTCTCTCTAAAAGTCAATCAGTCGATTATACACTAAAACCAAAACAGTGAACACTGGTTTGTAGTTATAAGTATAGCACTACGATTTTAATGGTACACTCATAACTGCAAATCATTGACTACCGAAGATGAAGTAAAACCAAATGCTCGAAGTACTGGATAAAACAGCCTGGATGAAACAGGCTTTAAGCCCAGTACATGAGGAAGAAGAAGAAGAAGAGGACGTAGAGAGGAAAGTCCTCTATTATGATATACTCTCTAAAAGTCAATCAGTGAATTTTCACTGAAAACAGTGAATAGTCACTGATTTGCAGTTATAAATATACTACTGAAAATTGCAGTGGTGTACTTATAACTTTAAATGAGTGACTATTCACTATTTTCAGTGATAATCCACTGATTGACTTTTAGAGAGAACGAGCTCTCTCCGAGTGACCGGAGAGTAAACCGGAAAGTAAATGTACTACTGAAAATTGCAGTGGTACACTTATAACAGTAAATCAGTGACTATTCACTGTTTTCAGTGATAATTCACTGATTGACTTTTAGAGAGTAGGCTTCTAGTATGAGCCCAAGGAGAAATGACTGATTTGCACTTATAAGTGTGCCGCTAAAAATCGCGGTGGTATACTTAGAACTGCAAATCAGTGACTATTCGCTGTTTTCAGTGATAATCCAATGGTGGCTTTCAGAGAGTTGATTGAAAAAATCGACCGGATTATCAATTTAGTGAGAAACGGATTTGATTTGAAACGCTACGTACGCGCGCGCAAATGTAACACGTTATTTCGCCATTTCTATCCAACGTCGAGTGCCGGAAGCACCGTCTCAAGTATTGCCCGCGCGTAACGCAACGTCGATCGCAACGATACGACTCTTCGATGTTAATTAATTCATCCTTGCAAACGGCATTGTTCGAGGTGAAAAGCGAAGTGCTCGCCATCCCCGCGGATTTGCGTTGCGGTGGCATTATGTTTGCAATCGCACACGCGGATTCGATATTATCGCGTGCCATATTTCCATAAAATCGATTCGCCTGATCCTTCGATAACGGGACCTCCGTAGTGCGAAATACACGTGTGGTTACATCAGCGGGACTGCGTCTGTATCAGAACGTTTGTCTGCAGATTGCAGCGGCTGAAGCATCGTGTTTACTTGAAAATTATGACATTATTTAACGTCCGAAATTCTCACGCAAATTTAGCCATTAAAATATTGAAAGTTAATACAAGTATCGACAATATGTTTGCTTTGATAATTATTAAATATTTAAATGTATAAATTATTGCATTTTATTAAGCGAAGGTTAACCATAAATTTCCATCTTTAAAATACATAATACGTTACGTAATTGTGTGTACCGTAATATAACGAGTAAAGTAAAATTAAGATTAATAAATAATTCCCCAGCGCAATAGCGACACTATCTGTAAGTGGTGAAGATATAGTTTTTCGCAATTTTATGTCAGTTTCGCCAGCAGTCGATTTCGTGTTCATGTTTACATTTGACCTCTGGCGCCGGTAATTCTAAAATCTATTATCAAACTGCTTACCAATATCCCGTAAAAAAGAGTCTTTAATTTTCTTACTTTAGACAAAATGACACGCTTGAACTTGCAAGTTTCAACGATTGCTAAATTTTTTCCTTCATGTTCCGCTCACCTGCAATCGGTTAAACAGCTGGAACGCGACGGCGAATTCTGTCGGCCGTCCCTCGCCTTCTCGCCGCTCGTCGGCGACGAAGCACCCGCGGCCAAAATTATTCCCGCTTGGTTATTTTCATCTAAATCGCGGTCATCTTGGACCTACTGACTTTTCCAAGGTTCGGTTCGGTCGCGGCGCGGCTCCAACCCCGGATATTCCGGCGCTCCGACGGTCTCGGCTGCCTCGAACCAGCCAGGCGGACGTTGCGGTCATCAATCATGCTCTGGACAAGCGAAAAGCCGCATGGACGGAGAAGATAATTTCTCTCTGGGTGTGACATCGGTTGTACGATAATAGAATCTCCACGACGAGAGAGGTGCAAAATTGTATCTGTTTCTAAAGTATCGCTCGCGTATGAATCGCTTTGAATAAGAAACTTAACCGCGCGCTCAGACTGATCTTTAGAGAAACTTCACCGCTACATCTAACTACTCGATCACTTAAAACTTATCAACAGATTAATTCGCTCGCGTAGATTCGCGTTCAAAATTCCTTTAGTTCAAATTCTCTATTCTTACGGTCCGACACGAGATTTTAAACCCTCCAAACGCCAATCGGTGGATTATCGTTGAAAACAGTGAATAGTCACTGATTGACTTTTAGAGAGCGGGTTATTATCTAAAAAGAGACGAGTAGTCGACTAACTTCTGGTTAACATTTAGCCAGAAAATAAAAACCTAAATGTAAGTGGAACGTGTACGATGAATTGACAACTAAACCGAGTTTTAAATCTCGTCCAAAAGTGACGGAAAGAGCAGCAGTATTTTCGAGTGACGAAAGCTTGAATGAGACAGGCTTCGGTTAGGCAAAAGAACGACCACAGTGAGCACGGATCATCCAAAGTAAACCGCTGGTTAATCCCTTTTTAGAAGAAGCCTCCGATTGAGTCACAATTGTGGTCAGCAAACTCCTTGGGTTTAACTTCCGTCGCACATTCATACTAACGACGAATTTAATTCGTTGCACGGCGTACCAAATTCTACATTCTGGCGCTCTAGATTTTTCCTTATAATTGATGGCATTAACAGCTTCTCGAAAATATTCCGTACGAAACAACACGGAATTTCGTTACGCGGTCCTGGATTTATAAATCTACTTTGAGGAATTTCGCGATCTGAGAATTTTTATATTCTTCAAGTGCAATCACTGAGGCCACAGATCTTCATATTCTCGATTCTTTTCACGAGAAATAACGAAGCTGCGATTGTTATTAAGCACGATTCGTCGAGAAACTGTACCACCCAATTTCTTAATTATTTTATGTTTTGCACCCACCAGTTCATCATTTTCTCAAGGCACAGCATCCTCACTAGATTCCTGGATCCTTTCCTCGGGTCCCGAGATGCAAATCATTAGCATGTCACAATACTAATCACCTTGGGCTTGTTTTACTGGTTTTGGAGCACTTCTCTTACACTTTCCTGATAATCAAACAAACCCGCAAACGGTGCGATCGCCGGAGTTTTAAAAAAACTTGCAGCAACCGGCAGACGAGCGGCTTCTGAATTTAGGATTCTCCTAAATTCGCAAGCGCGGGAGAAACTTTCGAGAGAAGAGCTGTCGAGACAAAGCTCTACGGGAGCGTGAGACTTGCGAACGCGAGGGATCTACGCGGCGAAATTCGGCGAGAGAAAGAGGGAGAGAGAGAAAGAGAGAGAGAGAGAGAGAGGGAGGGAGGGAGAGAGAGAGAGAGAAAGAGAGAGAGAGGGACATTTCCACGAGCGCGCGGAACCCGCGCGCGGAAAACCTGCGTGCGGGAAACTGGCGCGCCGGAAACTCGCGGTGCGCGAAAACTCGCGAAAGCGTCGCCGGAGTGCGAGAAGGAAGCTCGAAGGACGCGGTAGACTCGTGCGGGATGGAAGCTGCTCCCCGTCGGCATAATATTACGATCCTGGGATGGCCACCCAGGGCCAGGGGCGGACGTCGCCGCGACAGGGAAGCGGGGTTGGCCCCCTCGTAGCGCGATCTCGCCGGGGTGGCGACAGGGTGGGGTTTTCGAAGCCGGCCCGAGGGG